CCCGCCCCCCCCCCCCCCCCCCCCCCTGACACAGTTGTTACTGTTACTACGAGTGATGTGATGCTGGCACCTACAAACTCCATACAAACCAATACTGATGAACTATTACCTATAAATGATATTGTTCAAACTGATAATCAGGAGAGCTTTGCAGCTCCACTTCTTCAAAAAGTATCCGGTGTAGCGGCAACTCATACTTCACATATTGTAGAACCCTTTTGTGGGTATTACTGTTGGTAATCCTTTTGCTTCAGCTCTACCCCATCAGGCGGATTCTTCGGAGGAGGAATGATAGATTTACACTTTCAGGAGAAAGAAGAAGAATGGAGATCTACTAGCGCTCAGGAGTTTTATTGATGATATTTTGGTTACTACGGGTAATGGTCAGCATCTTATCAATCTGCTAGTTGGATCCCTACCAAGAACTAAAGCCAGAGGCAAGACTAAATTGGGATGACCCACACTTTTTCAGCATCCGGGGGGTTTTTGGGTTTCTTTTTATTTCTATATGTACCCATCTTTTACATTTTTGGGTGTGTGTCGTATTGTGTGGGTTGGGTATTTAGGCCCACTCATACAAACCTATCTGTATCTTTATCTTTAATATATCAGCCCTTGGACTTTCTAATATATATATATATATATATAAATGATTAGTAGTATTTCGAGCCAAAACGAGCCAAACACGAGTTTCTTAACGAGTCGAACACGAGCTGTTCGTGAACGAGCCGTTTTGACAGCCCTAATCACCAATATGAATAGCAGACACTGGTGTATCTCGACATATTATATGTTCCTATAGTGAATTCTCTTTCTATACTCACTACGCAGTTTCAGAGAGCATTCAAATAGCTGATGATACAACACAAACTATGATTGATAAGGATACAGTGAAGTGTACCAATTATTTTACTTTGTCTAATGTTTTGCATACTTTTTCCTGTCTAGTGAAAAATTTATCTATTAGCGCTATAATACTCAAATTAAAATGTGTTATTTTTATTTGATATGCCAAATGTGATCTTTCAAAATAAGGGGATTTGGTGACATAGTGAATTCTGGTACTTGGATAGAGAGGGGATATACTCAGTCTTAGCATCCATAATTGAGAATGTTGGAGCGGGAGGATCTAAGAGGAGTGTGGATGATGTTTTGCTATTACATCACAGGCGTATGAGACACTCTTCATTTAATCTATTGAGTTGATAGTTTCCATCCTTGTATGAAAAGAAAAATAAACAAAAACTTGTGTGTGGTGCTTGTTAGTTTGGTCAGCATACCAGGAGGTTTTATGTTAGTTCTGGTAAACAGAGTTCTTAAGTTTTTGATTTGGCGCACTCGGATATATGGGGACCTTGTTCTAAAACTTCTATGGATAGCTAAAGTTTGTCTTTCATCAATTGTTTTTCTAGCATTATTTGGTTATATTTGATGGGAAACAAAAATTATGTACTTGCTTGCTTTAAAGACTTTCACAAGGTGATTCAGACTCAATACAGTGTAGCAGTGAAGGCATTAAGGTATGATGATGGGACAGTATACCAACAAAGTGTTTGGGGAATACTTGTTAGCCCAAGGGATTCAACATCAAACCACATGTTCATACACACACACAAAATGGAGTAAAAGAAAAATAAACACTTTCTCGAGGTAGCTTGAAGCATCATAATCACGATGAATGTCCCAAAATACTTGTGGAACCAAGCAGTTTTGACAATAACTCAATTGATCATCAAAATGCCCTAAAGAGTATTGAATTGAAAGTCTCCTTATCAAATGTTGAAAGAAGTTAATAGTGAAATTATCTCATTTAAGTTTTTTAGTTGTGTATGTTTGTGATGGACAACACACCATCAATAGAGAAACAGGATCCTAGAGATGTGAAGTGTTTTTGTGGGTTATTCTGCTACCAAAAAGATGTATGTTTGTTGGGGTTTGATAGACAAGAGACTGTTTGTGAGCATGGATGTGTACTTGAGAGAGTTTAAACCGTACTACACTCTGGAGGTAACCCTCAACCTTTGGTGACTCATTAGATATTGAAGGTATTAGGCATGAGGGGGAGAGTAGTGATTGAGAGAGATTCGTGCATGTGGGAATAATGTCTAGTTATGTTGCGTGGAAATGATCAGCTGAGGAAGAGCCAAAAATGATGAAAATGAGTCTGAAAGTGGAAGGATTCAAGATCAAAAGGAGTTGAGAGTGTATATAAGGAGGAAGAACAGTGTATGTCATCACTCGTGCCATCCAGTCCAGGAACAGTGTCTGCTGTGCCACTTATGCCATCAAGCCCTTTGCCCTAGTTCACCCCGACTTCTAAGACGCCTACACCTTCCACTTCAAAATCTGATTACTAATGTGATATGATTCCTCTCCCTTCTCCTACTCCCGTGGCTTTAAAGAGGACCTCTCGTAGCAATGTGGGTCGTTCTCCAGATCGTTATTCTCCTGATTGTTTTGGATTCTCACATGACATTGCTCAGTTTGTCTCATATTCTAACATATCATCTGTACAAGTTACATTCATTGCATCTTTAGACACTGTCTCTATATCCAACTATTGACAGGTAACAAAGGAGAATCCAAAGTGCAAGGCTGTTATGCTGAAGGAACTTGGTGCACTCGATAAGAACAGAATGTGGAAGATAGTACCATTACCAGTAAGGAAAAGAGCAGTTGGGTGCAAGTGTATCTTTACAGTAAAACAAAATCAAGAAGGGAGAGTGCAGTTAGACATATGACATTGACTATGACGAAACATTTGCACCAGCAATGAAGATGAGCACAGTGAGAGCATTGGTTTCTGATTGTAAATGATGGGTGGAGATTACACCAAATATAGACATACCACTAAGATTAAGTACAAGCCAGGCAATGTACGCAAGTTGTGCAGGCTCAAGAAGTTGCTTTATGGCTTGAAACAATCTATTCGAGCTTGGTTTGACAAGTTTAAAAAAGCTACAGAGGGCATGGGATATCATCAGAACAATGTTAATTATACAGTATTCTTTCGTCAAAATAGTAGTCACATCACTATGCTTATTGGGTATGTTGATGATATCATTATCACAGATGATGATGAGGCAAAGATTGCTCAATTAAAAGTTAAATTGGGCAAAGATTTTAAGGTGAAAGACATTGGATAGCTCAAAGACTTCCTTAAGATTGAGGTGGCATGTGAACCAGAGAGGATAGTCATATCTCACAAAAAGTATTTACCGGATCTCCTAACAGAAATAGACATACAAGGAGGCAAGTCTGCAGTGTCCAATTGATCAGAAGAACAAAGTGAGTGCAGAGGCAGGAGAACCAGTTGATCGTGAAAGATACTAGAGATTGGTGGGTCATCTGATCGATTTGAGTCACACGCGTCCCGACATCTCATTTGTTGTGAACGCGGTGAGCTGTTATATGCATGATCCAAGGGTCATATCGATGCAACATATCAAATTCTGAGGTCCCTGAAAAGTGCACTAGGGAAGGGGTTGATCTTTAAGAAAGAATATTGTGATGTTAACTGGGCGACTTGTACATATGACAAAAGATCCACCTACGGATACTGCATGTTTGTAAGTGGTAAATTGGTTTTTTAGAAGAGCAAGAAACAATCTGTAGTAGTGAGGTCAACATCAGAAACAAAGTATAGGGCCATGGCCTTAGGAGTTGCAGAGATGATGAGGCTAAGAGCCTTGTTGGTTGAGCTCAAAGTGGATCAAGGAACTCAAATGAAGTTGTGGTGTGACAACAAGTCGACAATTAACATTGCCAATAACTCAGTTCAACATGATAGAACAAAAAATGTGAAGATTAATAGAATCTTCATAAAGGAAAAGCTGAATAACAGGCTACTGGAGCTAAATCATGTAGCCACTGGAGAGCAATTAGCTGAGTGTCTCACTAAAAAACTTAGTTCATTAGATTTGTCTAGATTGTGTCAAGATGGGCTTAATGGATATCTTTTGCTCATCTTAAGGGGGAGTGTTGAAATTTGTATCTTATTTGAGAGGTTTAATTATAAATAGGAAATATAGAAGAAGTCTGGAGGTTATTTGTAAAAGGATTATAAGTCTCTATTGAAGTCCAACCCATGAATGAAGGAAAAAAATTTTTACCAATTTTTTTCTTCAAAAACAAAATATTATGTGCTAAATTAGGCGGGTTCACAAGTCAGTTTCAGGGCTGACTCAAAATTGACCCTACCCAAAATTGCTTGACCCCGAGTCCAACCAAAATATTAAATAGTTGAAAAAGTCTAACCCGACCCAACTTGCTTTCAACCTGAATGACTCTAACACAACCCACATAACTCGTTTAATATATGTATAATAGGTATTCACTTATTTGCTTCAAATTCAAGTTTATTTCAAGTCACATTCAGGTTGACGAGTAAACCGAACATAATGGGGTTTTGGATGCCCACCAACCCAAAAATTAAATGAGTCAACCTGAAACCAGATTTTTTGAGTTGAGTTCAAGTCATTTTGGCATGTCGAGTTAATTTTTGACACCTGTCATAAATATTGAAATTTAGATGATATGCCAAAGAGGACATGAGGAGCACATAATCTTACATTAATGCATACAATGTACATCCCAAAGCCCAAACATCCGTTCTTTCGTCAATATCAGCATGGCTTGGGCAATCCCACAACTCTGGAGCTCTGAAAGGTGCAGAACAGTGCTCGGCAGCCCAGTCCTGCATAAAATAATGAGAACAAAATAAACATGATGCATCATTGAATCGTCTTAATGTGGCGGTTAGAAGCATTGACCCCAACCATGAGTCTGAATTTGACGCCTAATGTACATGGATGTATGCATGAATTTGCTATTAAATTCACTAAAAATAATACGTGCGCGAGAGAGTATCAACATATATAGATATATATATATATATAATTTTTTTGTTCTTATTCAGCAACTTTAAAATTTGAATAATCAAGACGACCTGTTAAACTAAAACCTAATACACAAAATATGCATCAATTAGTATAACTTCTAATAGCCATAAGAAGTAAAGATCTTTGAATTATTATTTTCTTTTCAACAAAAACGATATCACATTTTAAATGTCCTGTCAGGCATATGAACAATGGCCCACTGCATTGAAATGTGTTCCGTTTGCTGTAAAGTGTGAATGTAGCATAACAAGAGAAATTCGAGATTAACCAGCATCAGCAGAAGTCCAGCAGAATAAAAAATGTGAAAACGATAATTAGTTAGAGGTTGTGGAAAAGAATTGAGAAATGATGCGCCAAACAATAGGAGAATAAAGTGGAAAAAAAAAGTAAATTGAGATGGTTGGCAGGGAATGCAGTAGAAAGATACAGAAAGGCAACACCAAATACTTGTGAGAATGCATCTGCAATTCCCGAAAATATAAGAGAATAAATGGCACAGAACCATGATGATAAGGATAACATCATGATATATAATGAGAAGTGCTAAAAACTGGTTATGGTCATGAAATAATGAATAACAATGGGCGGAAAAAAAAAAAAACTAGTTTTTCCTTCCATAGTAGCTGTAAATTTGTCAAAAAATCAAGATATGAATCATCTAGATCCTTATGTAAATGTTAGGGCGTCCCTTGGAAGCAACGCACTGTATGACCTAAATATAGTGAAAAGTGTGCAAGGGCCGTTACACCGGCACGTAGGTGTGGTGTCAAATAAGCAAAGATTCTCACATTACGGAAGAATGCAGGTAAAGAAGTTAGTTCATGAAATTAATATTTGGATAGGAACTTGAAATATAAGTACTCTCATAGGTAAATTAATGGAATCAGTTGCATTATTATTCATAGAAAGAAAAATATCTTATGTCACTCTCATAGGTAAATTAATGGGTTAGAGAAAATGCTAAGGAGATTGACAAAATAGACTTTGTTATTCAGGTAAGAGTCACACTAGAAATGGTGTATATGTAATTATAGATAAGAGTTTGAAAGATAATTTGTAAAAATTAATAAAATTGGAGATAAAATTATAGCCCTTAAGATTATTGTTGATACTAAGATTTTTAATATTATAAATGTTTATGCTCCTCAAGTAGGTTTAGATATAGGTTCCAAAAAATATTCTGGAATGACCTATAAGACTTAAAATAAATGATACCTCTTGATGAAAGAACTTTTATTGGAGAACATGTTGGTAGAGTGGTAGAAAATTTTAGAAATATTCTTGGTGAGTACGATTTTGGAGCGATTAATGAAGAAGGTCATATTAGATTTTGCTTTAGCGCATAATTTTATTATTGTAAATACTTTATTTAAGAAAAGAGATGAGCATATTATTACTTATAATAATGAATCTAATAAAACACAAATTGATTATTTTTTTATGAAAAGAAGATATCGTCAAGAATGTGTTGTAACACCATTCCAAATAAGGATTTAAGTACTCAACGTCGATTATTAGTTCTAGATTTTAAGTTGAATAGTTGTAAAAAAAAAAATTAGAAATCATTGTCGAAGAATTAGAAGAGGACACCTAAAAAACAAAAATAAAATTTTTTTTATGAGTAAACTTCAAGATTTCAAGATTTGGGATGTTCATGAAGAAGCAAATTTTTTGTGGGACAAAGTAACAAACAATATTAAATAAGTGGCAAAAGATGTGCCCGAAGAATCAAAAGTAAAAAATTTATATAAATAAAAATAGTTGATGGTGGAATAATAATGTGGAAGAAAAGATAAAATATAGGAAGTTATGTTAAAAAAATTGGATTAAATGAAAAAGCTTAGAGAATTGAGAAAATATTAAATGGTCTTTAGAAAGTTTAAGAAAACAATTTGTTATGCTAAAAATTCTATTTTTACTGATCTTTATAAAAGATTAGATACTAAAGAAAGTTAAAAATATATGCATAAACTAGCCAAATAAAGAGAAAAAAGAGTAAATATTTAACTCAAGTAAAATATATTAAAAGTGAAAATCAAAAATATTTTTCTTAGAAAAAGATATTCAACACAGGTTTGTGAATTATTTTGATAAATTTTTTAATGAAGTTTTTGAAAATACGATCGATTTTAGTATTCTTAATATCGTTAATAAAAATAAAATGTTTCGTTTTTACCGTTACATTAGTAAAAAAATTTTGAGGAAGCTTTAAAGAAAATCAAGGGTAAAAAGTCAGTAGGATCTGATGATATCCCAATTGAAATGTGGAAATATATACAAGATTTGAGAATTTCTTGGCTTACTAAGCTTTTTAATATTATTTTAAAAACTAAAAGATGCCTGAGGAGTGGAGGAAGATTATTTTGATCCCCATCTTAAGAATAAAGGGGATGCACAAGAGTGTGCAAATTATAGAGGAGCTAAGTTGATGTGTCGTACTTTAAACTTATGGCAGGGGGTAATTGAACATAGGTTAAGACACATTACAAAGATTTCTCATAATCAATTTGGATTTATGCAGGGTAGGTCTACTATGGAAGCTATACATTTATTGAGAGGTTTGATGGATAAATTTAGAGAGAATAAGGAGGATCTACGTATGATTTTTATTGATTTAGAAAAAGCTTACGATAAGGTTCCAAGATATCCTTTAAAGAGTTCTAGAGAAGAAAGGTGTTGATATGACTTATATTCAAGTCAATAAATATATGTATACTAGAGTTGTTACTTGTGTTCGAACAGAAAGAGGATTGACCAAATATATTTTCCTATTTCAGCTGGATTACATCAGGGATCGGCTTTAAGCCTATATCCTTTTGCTTTAGTTGTGGATGCTCTTACTGGACGTTTATAGGAGGATGCACCTTGGTGTATGCCTTTCGCTGATGATATCCTTCTCATTGATAAGACTAGAGAAAAAACTTGAACTATAGAGGTCTACATTGGAGTCTAAAGGCCTTCGTTTGAGTAGAACTAAAACTGAATACCTGGAATGTAGTCTTAGTAATAGTAGCTCTAGCGATAGAGTTGTAACTATGGGTAATCAAATTATTAAAAAGTGTGAATGCTTTAGATATCTCGGGTCTATTGTTTAAAGTGATGGTGATATAGATGGGGATGTTATTAGTAGAATTCAAGTTGGTTGGTTGAAGTGGAGGAATGCTTCGGGCCTATTGTGTGATAGAGAAGTACTGCTTAGACTGAAAGAAGAATTTTATAAGATGGTAATGAGACCTACAATGTTCTATGGCGATGAATGTTGGCCTTTAAAAGAGAAGTATAAAACTATGTTACGTGCCGAGATGAGAATACTTAGGTGGATGAGTGGCTTTACACTCAGAGACAAAATGTGAAATGAATATATCCATGATATGGTTAAAGTAGCTCCAATAGCGGACAAAATTAAATGGAGTCGTCTTAAATAGTTCGGTCACATTAAATGTCGATCATCTGATGATATGATTAGGAGAGTAGATGTTTTAGATTCGACTCATGTTAAGAAACGCAGAGGTAGACCTAGAAAACTTTGGGCATATTGTATGAAAAATGATCTTAATTTATTAGAATTAAATGAAAATATGACACTCAATAAGACGCAATGGAGAAAAAGGATTCGTGTAGCCGACCCCACTTAGTGGGATAAAGGTTTGTTCTTGCTGTTGTAGCTTTTCTTTATATGCTGAAAACCAGAAGAGAAAACATGGCTAAAATACTTCAGCTATTTATCAATAACTATTTAAAGCAAGAAATAAACTCTACAGAGAGCAGTAATTATGGCACCTGCAATTTTAGAGCATCTGAACGAGAACGAATTTCCCGCTTAGCCGGCCCGGCACTCCCAAAATCCATCAATATAGCAAGAGGTGGTTCTCCCTTCCTATGTGTGATCAGGACATTAGCAGGTTTCACATCATTATGAGCATATGGAGGATCAAAACTGTGCATGTGCTTCAGTCCAGCACAGATCTGTGGTAGAAATTCTTTTAGCATGCAATACATTACTTAAGAGATTATACAAGAATGTTATAAATGAACCTCAAAACATGAGAATCATATAATATGAAAGCAAATGAACATGTTACTGGAAAAAAATTAGAAGAGAAGCAAATAAAAGGGGCAATTACATACATACCTAATTCCTATGTATTTACATATAAAATTTTGTTTTGTACATTTATACCACTCAAATCTTTCAGATCATATAACAAATGCCACCATTTTAGCTTATAAAATTTGAAATACACCATTCATGCATAAGTAAGGTGGAAAGTAAAAATGAAGGTTAGGTGTTAGATATGTAAATATATAGGAATTGAGTAGTATGTATGCAAATCTTACAAAAAATAAACATAATGTAGGGGGCTGTTCAAACCTTAAAAATGGGCAATAGGGACAATGCAAGACCAGACGAACCTATATCTTTTGTGTTTCAAAAAGTATAGGAAATATGTTACCACAACAAGGGATAAGGACGTGTTGTATGACCAAAATACAGCGAAAAATATGCAAGAGTCACAGCATCGACACATGAGTGTAGTGTTAAATAAGCAAGGGTACTCATGCTATGGACGGATGTGGACAATAAAATTTGTCAATTAAACTAATATTAGAATAAGAACTTAAAATATAAGTACTCTCACGGGTAAATTAATGGAATTACTCGATAATAAGGTTCATAGGAAGATAAATATTATGCATTCAAGAAACTAAATGAGTTAGAGAAAAAACTAATAAGATTGATAATTTAAAATTTTAATTTTGTTATTCCGTTAAAATTCGTCTTAAAAATGATATATGTATAATTATAGATAAGAGCTCAAAAAAATGTTGTAAGAATTAATAGAATTAGATATAAAATTATAACTTTAAAAATTATTGTTGATACTAAAATTTTTTATGTTAATGATTACTTATGCTCCCCAAATAGTTTTGGACATATATTCCAAAAAAAAAAAGACAAGTAATGAGTAAGTTTGGGAAAATTAATGTGAAGCAAAAATAAGATATTTTGCAAGGTCAATTCCATGGTTTATTTCATAATTATGTTAATTTTACGTTTGTGGAAGATATTTTTGTTGTACTTTACAAAATACAGGTGTTGAGCGCACTGCAGGGAGTTAAAGAAGACAAATTGGCCAAGGGACTAGCAGTGCAACTGCGCCACCATCTCTGTTGTGGAAAGCGTGAATGAAGCAATGGCAAGGCCGTGCCAAGAGACAACACTCCTGCGCTACCTACTAGAGACTTGGGTGCACCTGAGCTCTTCTGCTACACGCCCTCGTCGTAGTCCTAAGAGGGCGGCACCCCCCGCCACACCCTAAGCACATCGGTGTCTCAATGAGTGATTTGACCAATATAGAAGAATTTCTTGCGGGATTTGGTGTCTTAACTATATAAGATAATGATAGAATACCTAGAGAATTTTTGCTTTGGATGCTCTAAAAATATGACACTAAATAGGACGCAATGGAGAAAAAGGATTCATGTAGCCGACCCACGTAGTGGGATTATAAGGTAGTGGGATTAAGGCTTTGTTGTTGTTGTATGCTTCTCTAGGCTTAAGAAAATCTTTCCTTTTGTGAGCCCTAGGGTTTTCTCCTTAAATTTTCTTGGGAGAATTTTCTAGTGTTTTTCTTTGTACGTTTGAAAAGCGAGAGACTTGAGTGCTTGTACGTAGCAGATTGTTGGAGAGCGTTCATTGTAAGGGGGGGATTGCGATATACTTCGAGGAGAGATCAACTCTCCTTTGAGTTTTGTGCCTATTTACATTGTTTGTTCTCCTGAATTCAATGAAGTTTTTTTATATTTTCTTCTATCATGCATAGTAACTAAGTTATTTTTATGCTTATGTGATTACAGCATGTGATTGAATCAATCTTTTCTCATTTAGTTTTCCCTAGACATTTTTATGTGCTTTTATGTTATTTATGTTGATGTATTAATTTTTTTTTTTATCATAATTCACTTTTAATATGGCTAATTAGAGAGTTAATACACCTTCAGATCTAAGATTTCTAACCGTTGACCAACATAATAAGTAGGTTAACACGCAATCACCTAGTGGAATAGACATATAGTCAGCAGAAGATTGTAATCTATATAGAAGACTAGAGGATTTCTAGAAAATCTTACATGGTTAAACTCTCTTAACTGTACTACGAGTTTTCAATGTTTCATATGACACAGATATAGACTAAGAAGAACTTGTCCATGGTTGTCAACAATATAGGGATCTCATAGGAAAAACTTGAAGATTCACATAATTCGAGTCACAGGAGTATGGCTTCATTCACCTCTAAAAAACTCCAAAAATCTAGTTTGTTTTCTGTTTTCTAGAATTTTATAAACATTTCACTTTCTGCAAATTAAAATTACTTTAAACTAGACTTAGAGGTTTAGCAAAATAAAGCTTCACCAATTAGGAAATTTGACAAGTTTCCTCGGGAGATCAACATACATAGTCTAATTTCATATATTACTAGAGCGACGCATATAATTGTATGATTGTCACATGCTTTTTAGAAAGACATTAGTTCACCAAGTAGGTTAAGATATATATTTAAGAGAGAAAATTTATCATGACCTAAAAGAATTAATACAAATGATATCTCTTGATGATAGAATTTTTATTGGGAGAGATTTAAATAAACATTAGTACAGTAATAAAAAATTTTAGTTCAAGTGGCTATGGTTTTGGACTCACCAATGAAAAAAGTAAAACCAAACTGGATTTTATTTTAGCTTGTGATTTTATTATCACCATTACTTTATTTATGAAAAAAATAAGCATATCATCACTTATAAGAACGAATCTAATAGAGCATAAATTAATTATTTTCTTATAAAATAATATATTGTCAAGATTATAATATTTGTAAGATCAATCCAACTAAAAATTTAAGTGCCCAACATCAATCAATAATTTTAAATTTTACGATGATAGGTTGAAGATAAAAATACGATAAAATATTATCATAAAATTAGATGAGACACTTAAAAGACAAAAATAAAATATTTTTATGGGTAAACTTTAAAACCTTAATATTTGGGATGTTCATGGAGAAATCAATACTATGTAAGATACAGTAAAGAGTACTACTAAGCAAGTTATAAAAAATATGCTCGGAAAATTAAAAGAAAATGTTTTTATGAATAAAAATAGTTCATGGTGAAATAATAATGTGCAAAAAAAGATACAAAATAAAAAGTTTTGTTATAAAAACTAATTTAGATGTAAGAGTTTGAAGAATCGAGAAATATATAAGATGCTTCGATGGGAATTTAAGATAATTTATAATGCTAAGAATTCTACTTTAAATAATCTTTAAAATAAAGGAGATTCTAAAGAGTGAAGGGATATATGTATAAGCTAACCGAGCAAAGAGATAAAAAAAATAAAGATTTAGTTCAAATAAAATGAATTAAAGAAAAAAATAAAAAAACTAATTTTTGTAGAAGAGGATATTCAACATAGGTAGGTGAGATATTTTGATAAATTTTTCGAATGATTGTGAAAATAAGATCGATTTTAGTGATCATAATATCGTAAATAAAAATAAAATTTTAAATTTCCACCGTCGAATTAATAAAATAGAAGTTAATGAGGCTTTAAAGAAAATGAAGTGTGAAAAAGAGACATGATGTTATTCTAATAGTAGTGTGAAAATGTTTAGATGATCTTGAAAATTTTTTGTTTACTAAACTTTTTAATATTATTTTAAAAACTAAAAAGATATTTGATAAGTGGAAAAAAGTCTATTGATTCTTACTTTTCAGAATAAAGGTGATGCACAAAATTGTACAAACTATAGAGGAAGTAAGTTAATGTGTCATATATTAAAGTTATGGGAGAGAGTAATTGAATATAGGTTATGATGTGATACAAAAAATTGTCAAAATCAGTTTGGATTCATACTAGATAAGCCTACTATGGAAGTTATACATTTAATGGGAGTTTTGATGAAGAAATACAGAGAAAGTAAAGAGAATTTATTTATGGTTTTTGTTGATTTAAAAAAATCTTATGATAAGGTTCCAGCATAAGTACTTTAGAGAATTCTAGAAAAAAATGTGCTGATATTACTTATAATCTAAGTCATTAAAGATATGTATACTAGAATTGTTACTGTGTTCGAACACGAGGATAATTGACTAAATATTTTCCTATTTCAGTTGGATTACATTAGGGATCGACTTTAAGCCCATATTTTTTCCTTAAGTTATTGATGTTCTTACTAAATATTTACAGGAGGATATACCTTGGTGTAAGATTTTCGATGGTGATATCTTTCTTGTGGGTAAAGCTAGAGAGAGTTCAGGAAAAACTTAAATTATGAAGTTCAACACATCTAAGGTCTTTCGTTAAGTAGATCTAATATTAAATGCATGAAATGTAATTTCATGTAGAAGATCTAGTGGTGGGGTTGTAACAATGGGTGATCAACTAATTAAAAGAAGTGAACGTTTTAGATATCTCAGATCTATTAACAACAAATAGGATTATCTACAAAACATCTTTCATCATCAAAAGTCTATAAAGTACCCATGGGAGAGTCAGCAAATTTGCACCAGACAACATTAAAGAGAAATGCAACTTTTATTATAAGCGAACTAGATATTGAGAAAATACTCTGATTGTCCCAAATTTATAGTACCAAGCATTTTTCAGTGAAAAGAAAATCATCAACATGCATAAAAAAGATCTGTCAGTGAAAAAATAGTAAATATGAGGAAAAATTCATCAATTAAGCTTCTTTGAAGACCAATATCAATAAGGACTTCGTAGGGTTTTATTAAACTAGATTGGAATTTTGTTCTCTCCCATTGGTTAAGTTGCTCCAATTAAACTACTGTCGAATCAGATGTGTATGCACGTTTTAACCCATTTAACTAAGCCCAACAAAGTGCATCATAAACTTGAACTTGCCTACATTGATGATGGGTTTTGGTAGAGCACCCTAGAAAGT